GGAAATGTATGTCTGACGGTAGTTTATTTGATTTATTTATTCAAGGGGCCTCAAATGGAGGCACTTTAACTGAGGCAAACAAATGGCTGCAGTTCCACGAGCGGAGTGGTTAACAGAACTGGTGAGATTTTATATTTTGTTAGAGACACACTAGGATTGAGAATACTGTCGGCCAGACTTCGTTTGTTTGACGGCAACATTTTTCGAATAGAATGTCATTGTTGCGACTTATAATGGCTTCTACAATACACCTGTTAAAGAGAAGAAATCCTGTGTAGTTTTTGTGACTTGAGATATTTCTAAAAACGGAATACATGCACACTCCGAGCCAGAGGCCAATGAGCTTTGAGTCTAAAACTATTCTGTGATAGTTTAGGATTTCCCTCCCTATATAAGCCTCTCATTGTGTTAGAGGACCTGCTTTGTACAAGTGCTTGCCAGCTGCTTACCAAATGAGGTTATAGTGTTTCCCTATCAACTGTAAATTTCAATAATTTGTTGGAGGGGCCTCTCACTGTCAGTTTTTATCATATTATCAATGACGACTCAATTTTCCTCTGCCACTCCATCTCAAGCACTGACCCCCGGCCCTATTACAGTCCTGTAATGAAGTGCAATGGAGTGGTAATTGGTCCACATTATACCAGATCAGGTAACATTAGACTTATTTTCTTATCACAATGAGCCCTGCTGGTGACTCTCAATGAGAAACCAAACACAGTTCCTTTCTTATGCAGGCTATCATCCAAATAACATTTCAACTCGAGACCCTTTTCCCCATTTCAGTTTTCCATTTCAAGATTGCACTCCATGTCCTCGGACCGCGCTTTGTTTCTACCTTCCTCCACTTTAAAAGTCTCCCAAACAGCCTCAGAGCAGTGCAGATATGAGGTAGAGCTTTCCCGGGACAGGGGGAAGTACAGTAAATGAGACGGTAACATGACCATTATGTGGGCCATATTAGATGTACAGTACTCTGCCCCCCCCCCTGTTAGAGCCCCCTGCCTTGGAGACTTCGGTTTTAAAGTTGTTTTCCTCCATGTTATTCCATCATTGTAGGATTACACGCTTCTCCATGAACTCAGCACATTTCCTGAGCTCATGAAACAGTTTTTAAAGTCCAAATTTCTTCCGTAACACAAAAATTACTTTGGCAATGTTTGCACCCAGAAGGCACATTGTTTTGATGTTATTGAAATCCAATTCAGTTGAGAAAATTGGCATAAATCAATTATTCTCATGCATATTTCAGCTAGAAAAGAGATGACTTGATGGAGTAAGAATTAGTTAATTAATAAAACTTGCAAAAAGAATATGTAAAATCTAATAGTCATTATTTATTTTTTAAGTTGGCTAAATAATACATGTTTAATAAAAATATTCCAATAAAATAAGCTGAACGTATTAATTAATTCTTCTAAAATTACCTTTGGGGAATTCTTTTACCCCCATTTTTTATGAATTATTGAAATCAAATTGACTTTAGAAAATTGCCAGAAATCAATTTTTCTAAATCATGAGCGTAACAATGATTTAGCTAGGAGAAGTTGCGTAATTAGTTTTGCCTAGGTTATTTAATAAATGTTTGTTTATAATAAAGATAATCTAGTAAAATAAGCAAAACATGTTTTTCAATTATTTTAAAAGATATCCTTTTTGGAAATGTTAACGCAGGAGGCACATTATGTGGATATTACTGAAATAAAAAATAACTATTGTCTGTCTGATATAACAATGATTTAATCTCTCTAAGAGTCGCAATGAGTCAACAAGGTAACAACTTTTTTAGTCAAGCAGTCTCGTGTTGGCGAAGCAGTCCAGCTAACATCTAGGCTTAGGTAGATTAAAAGCAACAGTGTGAGTTTAGTAAAGTGTTGAACCTGCTCTATGTTACACTGCCTAATCCAGTGCCAGCAGAGCAGAATATCACAAAGCTGTTAGTCCTTGCGTGAACCTTTGTGCTGTGAACTGACGCATGCTCTCGGCTCCGTGTGCTGCAAACACACCCCAGACTAAAAAAGACAGGATATTGGATAACAAGGTTAAAACATGGAGCGAAAATATTCTCTTATTAAACTCAGGCTGCAGGGATTTGATTTGAGCCACCTAATAGATAGTGGTTTCAAGGGAGCCCAAACAAAAGGTAACGGACCGGTCATGCTTATGGTAGCTAATGGCAGAGTTAGAAGAAATTAGGGGAGTCTTTTTCTACAGGAAATTGTACTTAAAGGCAGGTCATGGATCACCTTGCTCTTCAGAAGTCAGCGAGTGAACTTGTGCTGCGGCCATTAAGAGGGCTACGTCGAGGGAAGAGGTCATAGCAGAAACAAAACTAATTGCGTTATTGGAGAGAGGCAAAGCTGTGTAAATTGATTTCAAGGCTGGAATTCACGGTTACACAAATGAATAAACTCGTTTTGTGATTTCCTGACTATCATTAAAGAAAGTGAAGATTGAGGACAGGGAAAACTTACATTATCACGCCAAAATAAACCAGGAAAGGTTTCAAATGTGAGCCAGCAAAGAACAGCTTCTTGGCTTTGATTTGACACGGTTCTGGCCGTTTGTTTAAATAATTCTTCAAGAGATGTGATGCTTTGATGTTTTGTTGGTGCAAGTGAAAAAACCCTGTATTGGGTGCTGCTGCAGAAATCCCTGCAAGCAGGTCCATCCATTCTTATACAATAATCGTGATCACCGATTATTGCCTTGTTTTTATTGGCATTTTCCTTCCCTAAAGCCTTCTTTACTTTTTTCACGTGCAGCATAAATATGTTTTAACAACCATCTGCTCACTTTTAAATGTGAGACTTCAGTCTGTTGATTGAGGTTGTTCATCTGCTCCTGCTTGTGTACTTATATCATGTTTAAATACTATTTAATTGATCAGTAGAGGGAGATTTCAGACACTCACTAATCCTCACCAATGTTAATATTCCCTCGCTGAAAAAACCTTTTATTATTATCTTTATTTTCATTTATTTATTTATTCTGTCTCTATTAAAGAGTTTACTTATTTAATTGAATCCTAAAGTATTTCAATCATCTTGAGAACTATAAAAAAAGGCTTTGTAAGTGATGTATTATTACAATTATTATTATTTTCTTTGTCAATTTTCAAAAACAGGTGTAGAGTCACTCCACAGTTATTTGAAGATCTATAATATGCATGACATGTTATCTATTTATTTCCCCCAGGATGTACGATATGTGGATGTAAATTAAATACAATTTAGTCCAGAAAATCTGTCAGCTACATAAGAGATTTCATGATGTAGTAACAGTGATTTAACTAATACAAGTTGCACAAAAATGTACTCAGGTAATTTCATATCTTTTAATTTATCAAAAATATGAAATACATATTTTTAATAAAAGCAATTCCTTGTGACATGTTACAATGTGCAATTGTTAGATGAAAGATGTGTATATGCCATGTTCTGTACTTTTTGTTTTATAGTTGAACTAAACATTCCTGAGGGCTCTATAGAGCATAAACTAGTACAATCAGCCCCCCAAAGTAAAATAAGAAAAAAACTTCTATACAACTACGCTATTAATGAGTCACGTTCTTGTCTTTTCCTTTAACAGCAGAAGTCCATCTCTCCAGAGCAAGACAGAATCTTGAATCCACATTTCCATAGAAGGTACGTCCATTTCCTTTAGCAGATCACAATCATCTTCTAAACGTTCCAAGATTTCCTCTGTGTTGTCTTTAGTTAGGTCTTTCATGGCAGCTTTATCTTGAGCTGAGGATAAAGACTAAGAAAAACCTTCTCCAATCAAGTTCCTGTCAAGTCAAAACGCTCAATCCAACTCTCTTCAGTCAGAGATGTTGAGTTTGTTTAACCAATACAATGCATTTGGATAATATAGTACCCGAAGTATGGTGCGATATCATAACACTTAAGTATACATATAGTAGTATACATATTAATAGCGGTACCTGCCTAGTAGAGACTGCTTTTTTGTTGTAGGTGTCTGCATAGTGACTGGTGATGGAGACGTGCTGTTTGCCAGTGTGGGTGATTGTCTGCCACCCTCTAGTGGTTGGATCAGTGTGGTGCCTTGTGTTGAGGCAATCAGTTATTTCACATTAGAGGAACAATTATTTGTAGTACAAGTGACAACATACAGATGATTCAACAGCTTTTTTAACATAGAAAAATACTTTGTGTGTGGATGTGCTTCGGAAAGGGGTGTGATCAATTTAAGTAACCATTTGAGCACATAAAAACGTTGTTTGTAGTATATAATCTTAATAATAATCGGTTAGTTAGGTCATAAAAATATATACAGCATAAAGTAGAAAAATACACTTTGACAATCCCCTTCACTTCCACATTTAATGCGAAATTTGAAGCTCATATTATATGTACGTATAACACCACTGCGCTTACAGTAACGGTGAATCAGCATGTTTAAAATCAATTGTATTGCCTACAAAAGTAGAATTATGTAAGTCTAACATTAACTTTTATGTCAGCACATAATCATGTTGTTACTGTTGGAGATATGGAGGAAGTAAAAAAAAAAAGGGAAAAGCATGCCAGACCAGGTAAACTGTGTGTGTGTGTGTGGTGTGTGTGTGTGTGTGTGTGTGGTGTGTGGTGTGTGTGTGTGGTGTGTGTGTGTGTGTGTGTGTGTGTGTGTGTGTGTGTGTGTGTGTGTGTGTGTGTGTGTGTGTGTGTGGTGTGTGTGTGTGTGTGTGTGTGTGTGTGTGTGTGTGTGTGTGTGTGTGGGGTGTGTGTGTGTGTGTGTGTGTGTGTGTGTGTGTTGTGTGTGTGTGTGTGTGTGTGTGTGTGTGTGTGTGTTGTGTGTGTGTGTGTGTGTGGTGTGTGTTGTCAAAGTTCCACATGGTACGGGTTAGCAATTATTCCTTTAATTGTTCATCTTTTTTTATTTCAGTTGTGCCCTGTCTGAATAATCTAGTGTCTACAAATGACTAATGACAGCCGAGTGCGTGTGTAATCGTAGACATGTTGCACGACATGACACCACTGTGCTGCGTTTTCTCACTTCTTCAACTGTTTCAGGAAGTGGGGCAGTGTCACTAAAATCAGGAAACTACGTGTTGCTATTTATACAACTGAGCAAAGGGCTATAGCTGCTGAAAGCTAATGTAGTCTGCAGTGAAGACGAGAGCGCTACAGTACACTTGAGGAATAAAAAAAAAGGCTTATTTGGGCAAATTATGCTTATAGTGGGGTGATTTCTTTTGGTATTTGAGACTTCACAACCATGGAAGAACCCGTCTCAAGTTTAAAAGCAGGTAAATATGACTTATATTCCTTATATTTACTCAGTTTCAGATAGGTAAAATATACCCAGAAGATATTTTTTACATAACACTGATTAGTCTTTTAGAATATGTTATGTTTCCTTTTGAAATGATCTCATTTAACTTCATTTAACTGAACATTCATTCACAATTATTTTCTTAGCTTACATAAAAAGAGGAAGGAATCATCTTAGCCTTCCTGTACGGTAAAATAAATGCATCTGCTATCGACTATTTTAGAATTTACCACTCGTTTAAGTTGTAATCATGTTTTTGGGTCCATTAAGAAACAGACGGCAAGTGCCGGTGCCCCGTCGTTTGTGGGAACTGTGATGAAGGTGAAATAGTCATGTTGGGTTTCTCTCCCAGTTAGCGTTTACAGAGGTGAACTTGACCTGATTAAACACTGTAATGAGTCAAACTAAATTACTCTGACCAGTGTTTACACAGTGCAGTGTTTGCACAACTCCATGTTGGCCGGGCTCTGAAAATATCAAACAAATCGGACATTCATTCTCTAACCTTGACATTTCCCAGCCGGACAGCTGGTATGTTGTGCAGCATTTCTAGGACAAACATCGCCCGCTGCAGCATGGAGAGCAACACATAATGTGACCAGTGTCGTATCATTAGTGTAATGTTTGAGCTGATTATTCATTTTGCGTGGTTGGGCCAGTTTAGGGAACTAATGATTCATATTTTCCACTGTTATGCTTCGGTTTCAAAAGGAAATGGCGGATTCTAATCATTCTAATGAATTCCTTCTTTAAAGAGGCCCTATTAGGCTTATTTGGTTTCCCCTTTCTTGTAAGTGTGTTTATATATAGGTTTTTTTACATGTAAATAATACTTGGTCCTCTATGGGACTTGAACCAGCTACCCTTCTACTGAGTTGCTCCTGCCCCTTTAATGCATGGACTATATATTCTAATCCATCTTTAATATATTCTGTTTTACAGCAAAACCTGAATCAGCTTCAGCTCATGAGCTGTTAATTCTGCACACATCTGAGGCACAGGAATGGGCGACATATTTGCATCAGATTTTAAAATCCTCAAAACAATTTCGCAAAAGATCTATCTTGCTGCATGCAATCGACCCAGCTCAGCAGATCCACGGATATGACTTTGAAAACTTCCAAAGCTGCAAGTGCATCGTGCTGCTGCTCACGGGCGCGCTCCTGGACTTGCTGTATGACCCTGAACTGCAGCTAGCGCTTCAGAGACTGCTTCACCCTCCACACAGAGTGGTGGCGCTGCTGTGCGGCGTGACAGATGACGATGCGCTGCTGGAGTGCTTCCAAGACTGGCCGAGATGGAGGAAACTGTACACTGACGACGAACCTGCTGTCTACGTTTCCACCGTTATGGAGTCCATCACTGACAGTACGCACAACCCCTAACACTTCCTTCTAGTTTCTTTTGAGACATCACACTTTGTGTGGTTTAGCCCAAAATGCAATCAATTAAAGAGTTATTTCACTCAAAAAAACATGGCATCCAACTTACCTGAGAAGTAATAAAAAAGATGAGAATATCTCAAAAAAAGGCCCTGGTTAATCTACATGAGTTTTTTTTTTATGCATAAGAAAAGAGAAATAGAAATAGTAAAACCTGTTCAGTGTTTAAACCATAAACAATTTGCTCAACTAGATTGTATTAAAGTACGGACCGAAGCTTTGGGATGGATACCTCAAACTTTAGCATATAAAACCCAAAACTATCAGCAAAGAAAAATGTATTTTTTGTTTGTTTACCGAACAGTTGGAGTATCTCCAATATTAAGTTGTCATAAAAGTAACTTTAAACATTTTTTATTCTAACTTTTTTTTTGTCACAGGTGGGCGAGTGGAGGCGGAACAAGAAAGTGAAAGCTTATCTGTAGCTGCAGCCGAGTTGCACATCACAGCAGCCGAGTCGCCTGAAAGTCCCAACACTGGTGAAACAGAGGAACCGGTGTCAAGAGAACAACAAAAGGCTGTTCTGAAACATGAAGAAGGTGTGAGCACGGGGAATTCTACAAGTGAGGAACTTGGAACACCCACGCACCTCACCTGTCTCACAATTCAACCAAACAGAGTTCTGTGCGGGGTAAGACTGGAGCTATTCTACATTAATGCCAACTTTTCTTAATATAAATGAGTAAGAGAGGAAATTAAAGGGTACCTACGCTCATTATAAAAATCCAATATGTTATTGCTATTATCTAAGAAAGTTAGATTGCGGTTTACATGAACAACTTTGTCCCAAAACTTGAGGGCTTAAACATTTGTGACGTCATCAAGTATAAAGTTGAAAACTGCCCTATAGACAAGGGGTTGTTAAAGGTGTTATACAGTGCTTCTCAAAGTGTGGTCCGCGGACCACTGGTGGTCCGTGAGTCAGGGTTTCCGCTAGGATTTTTTCTCGCCGGTCAAATGTCCGTGCAGAATTTATTTTACCGGATAAATTTGAAACTTACCGGTCATATTTCAATAATAATAATAAGAGTTATGTAGCAGAGTTTCCGTTAGCAGGTAATTACCGGACTATGAGCAGATATGCTGATGTTTAAAACTCAGTTCACGGGGCTCATGTTTATATTGCTTCAGTTTATAATCGTAACAGATCGAAAAAATTCAGATTCATTTTTCAATAAATGATTCCACAAACAACATAATTATTACATTCAAACAAACTACTTGTAGTAGATGAAGTACATTATTCAAAAGTTTACATTAACTTTGAATAATAACACGGCAGAAACGGAGCCTCTCTTTTCCCCTCTCCCTCCTGACAGCCCGTCAGTTTCTCATGTAGCTCGCTAAACAGTGGGCGGGGCTTCAGGTGATCATGCAGAGCTGCGTGTCTCTGTCAGACTCAGTAGCTGATCTGTTCTCTCTCTCGCGTCCGGTTTTACGGCCCGTCCACACAGCGGCGTGCGTTGAAGCTTCCAACGCTTCTGCCCATTCACTTTGAATGGGGTGACGTCACTTTTAGCCGAACTGCATCGTGGGAAGCGGAGCGTAGCTGGCGTGGCTCGCTGCAAAAGTTGAGCAATGTTCAACTTTTGACGCCTCGGCAGAAGCGTCAGCCAATCGAATCATATGCCAGTACGAGCTCTAGCCAATCAAACTGCTGCTTGTGTGTCAGGGGCGGGAGATTCATGTGATTGGTTGTTGGTCGAGTGTCAGACACGCCCGCCGGCAAGCGTCAACGCACGCCGCTGTGTGGATGGGCCATTATACTTCACTCGCGTTTATGTCCATATCGATCAGATCCAGCTCTCCTGATCTGCCTTTATAGAGAGCCCCGATCAAACTATCAAGAGTGAATATCGGCCGTTTATGATCGGTGGCCGATCAATCGGAACATCCCTAATTATTACCAGACATTTTGACCGGCAGGTTTTGAATTTACCGGTTTTGAATTAATTTTACCAGCTAAAAACCGGTAATTACCGGCTAACGGAAACCCTGCCGTGAGTATATTGGTAAAGTTTCACATTTGAAATAAGTCAATTAATTTAAGTTTTCCGCACTCTCGCGGGAATATCTCCGCAATGGAGCGAGGTTTAAGTGTTTGCGCCCAGCGCAACACCTTCATCATACATGTTGCCACTTGTTTGTACCATTTTCAGGTGATTTGTAATCTGTTCTAGAAAAACGATGTGTTTTTTGATATTTGTGGATTTAGGTGGTCCGCGAGTGTTTTTTTATTGGTTAAGTGGTCCTTGGTATGAAAAAGTTTGAGAAACACTGGTATAGATGACACTGAGATCACCAGGGGACATGTTCTGAGTATAAGGGAAGTGTTCTGTTTCACAACAGAGAACATTACAATAAAATAATGAAAAACAAAGATTCTGTGGTTCCAAAAATAAATCAGCCTATAATTAATTTCCTACAAAGCCACTCCTTACCTTTTTCTACCTGGTTTCTGCATTGACAGAGAGAGAAGCTAATGTACTGTATACAAATATTAATTGAACTTACCCTGGCCGATACCACATTTAGATTTCTTAATGTTGACCCTTCAAGTACAGAAAAGATTTTCATTTACATTCTGTTACTCAAGTTGATTGTATCAAAAAATGTGTAGTGGAATATATACCACTCATAACAACCTGTTTTTAGGAGATACATAAAACTAATAATGCCCTTTTCTTGCATTTTAAGGAACGGGAGAGACTTTTCATCATTTTCACACATAAACTAGATGATGGGTCTGTACCAGAGGTGGAGTTCTCATCTGAAAATGTAGCTGCAAAAAGAGTCCTGGGCACTGTGGAGAATGAATACACTATAAGTGTTTCTGCACCTGGTCAGTATCTCCAGGAGGTCATGTGACCTTAAGATGATTATTTCAGTGTTGATAGCAAGATCTAGAAACTACAATTTAAAATGACTGTATTGTTTTCTTATCCCCACTAGATATGCCTGCTGGAGTGGTGTTGCTCACCATGTACACTGACCAGTCCTGTGTCAGCTTGAAGTCGGTTACATATTATACCAATATGGGAGAAGTTAGTCGGTATATTGAAAATGCCACCGATCCTGTTAACTTCATCTGCCAGGTTAGACATTATGTCGCACCATAAACAGTGATGTTTAACTAATATTAAAAGCTATCCAGATTATGTAAGTCCTTTTTTCCATCCAGGCCTTCAACTTGACAACCAATGCAACTGAAGCACTGGACGAAATGCTTACTGACTCGTTAAAATCCAGGATGCCGGCAACTAGTCTTCAGCTGTTTGGAATTAGACAGATTGAAGAAAACAACATGGCAGCATGTGAGGACAAATATGAATATGCTGTTGTTGAAGTATAAGGATTTGAAACATTTGAAAGAATATTTGACCAACATCTGCAATTCCAATGAAAGCTCGGAGCTTAATCAGTCAACATACGATTATTAAAGATTATTTTATGTCTTTCAGATCAGCGTAATGAGGAGCTTCCCACGCTGCTCCACTTTGCTGCTAGATATGGCCTGAAGAAGCTGACCACCGTTCTCCTTCAGTGTCCGGGGGCTCTGCAGGCTTACAGCGTGATGAACAAGTCTGGAGACTACCCAAACACGCTGGCAGAGAAGAGCGGCTTCTCTGATCTCAGACAGTTCATGGATGAATTTGTTGTAAGTCCAGTAATGAAAGCTTATGTTTTCCAACAATGCATTTGATCTTGTCAGGTTCTTGACTCACCTTCTGCCTGCTTCTCGTGTTCAAACAAATCTAGGAGACAGCGGACATGCTCAAGTCTCACATCGAGGACGCCATCAACACAGAGGAGGCTGCAGATGTGTATGAGATGATGTCGACCAACCCTCAAGATATCATGATGAAGTACTCGGGGGGCTCAGAGGACATATATGAGTCCATGCTGGGGATTGACCCTGATTGTGCAGAGGACCTATGTAAGATTAATGTCTTTGTATCTATTGGCTCTCACAATGACCAATACAAAATGTATGCATGCTGATGATGCTGTTATTTTCAGATGAAGTGATGAACCCAGAGGAAGCAATGCTTAGGAAGTTCTTTGAAGGTAAACATTTGAATACATATAGCATCATTTATATTATGGTATAATGTTTTAATATCTAATGTGGTTACAATGTGTACTTCAGCAAGACCACATGCCAGTGAAAACCATTACAACAACGAGCACCTTAAAGGGGAGGAAGATGAAAAAGACAATCCTAATGATTTCGATCCAATTGAGGAAGAGGAGGACCCTTACAATCTATTCCCAGAGGGTATCTATGATACTGTAGATACAAATCCAGCAGTCATGAACCGTCCCCCAGCCCCTATCCCCAGAACGGAGTCTGTGAGTGATCCTGAAAAGCCTATGACTGTCATCTCAAGAGGTACTGATCAGTTTATTTTTTTGCTGTCCCCTAAAATGTTCTCTCTACACATCAGATATCATAATACATTTCTAGATGAAAAAATAGATAACTACATTTTGTTCACAGTATTTTCAGATAAAGCTACGTCCCAGTCTAGTACGATGGAAAGTGGAAATCCTGCAGGTAAAGCACAGTTAAAATTATTAAAATTAACATTGTTTATATAAGTCTGTTGTTCTCATCATTTATATTTCAAGTTAATAAGATCATTGCAAAACTGTTAAAAGGGGACCTATTATGCTAATTGTCAGGTTTCATATTTTTGTATTGTGTGGCTCTACTGTGACATGTCTCCTTGCTGTAATGTTCAAAAAGCTCTTTATTTTTCTCATACTGCCTGTGCTGCAGCACCTCTGTTCACCCTCTGTCTGAAACCAGAGCCCAGCCTGCTCTGATTGGTTAGCTGGCCGGCTCTATTGTGATTGGTCAACCGCTTAGAGATAGTAAACATTATCTATGATATCCTTACACCAGTTAAATATTGTCTGTTCATTCAGTAATTGAGTGTCTGTTTAAATTTCACTCGTGAAAACCTTAAAAACATTCAATTCCAAACTGTTGTGGAATTTAAATAAGAACATTTAAAGTGCTGTAGTTAAGTACAATGTGAGGTTCTTTACTTTACTTGTTTCAATGAAACCCACCTTTTCCAGCTGCAACATTAGACACATTATCGCATAACTATCTTATTATTCTGAAAGTGACCATCTTACAAAATTATTACTTTTAAATGTGGTACTTTAATTATATTATAACTATATAATAAAATGTTGTTGTTAATATTGTTGCTCATTTACCTGAGTAAATTTAAAGTTGAATACTTTCTCCACCACTCTATCTAATCACATATTAACAGTCTAGTGATTGAATCATAGACTTATCGTAAACCTTTTATTTGAGTTATTGATCAAAATGTTGCCCCAGCATTTAAACATTCTAACGATTTCCAACATACAGTATATGCATTTGCTGTGCAGCTTATCTAAGAGAGGAAGGTGGCCATGTCTTATCAACACTAAGTAAGTAAATGTAATTGAGGGGAATTTCACAAGCCACTGTGTAATGCTGCAGTTATTTTGAAAGGCTAGTTGACTCATTTGTTCATTTTAACTCGGCGTATTGAACTCTCTCTTAACTCAACCAATGAGCTTACAGTAGCTTTCTACATGAAACAGTTGTACAAGGCATCCCAAAAACCACAGTTGTATTGTATTTACCAGGCATTAAGAAAAAATGCAAAGTGGAAAATAAACAATGTTTGTTAACTACAGTATAACTAATAACAATAATGTGCACCCATCCAGTTCGGCCTGCGGAGGACGCTCCTCTTCCTGTTTACGACCCCTACGCTGGGATGAAGACGCCTGGACAGAGACAGCTGATATCCCTGCAGGAGAGGGTGAAGGTGGGGGAGATTACTGTGGACGATGCTGTCCATGACTTCAAGGCCTGGCAGTTTGACCATGAGCGGAGGTCCGGCTCCATACGCTATCAGCAGGTAGAAACACTATACAATATTTAAGTCTATATTCTGTTTGGTGGTCAATAAATACATCTAACGTGTGTGTTTTTTATTATTTGTCTTAAGGAAAACCTGAAGAGATTGCGAGACAGCATCACCAGACGTCACAAAGAGAGAACAAAGAGTGGAAATGAGCTCGGTAGAATAATTTAACTGTTTATTATTTGAATATTAATTCTCTAAAGCAACTTTAATATGTAGTATATCTCCCAAACAAAAACACATCTATATGCTGTCTCTAAATTGGTGGTACAAGCTCCAAATAGATATGAGGACTGCAGAAGGTCTACCCATCTTCATGTAGTCTAAAAACCCACCTGATACCACTACACCATGGCCAGATCTTACCAAAATAAAATGTTGTAATACTTTAAATGATTTGAGTTACTGAAGCTAATTCTGTTTCTTACTTGAAGATAATACAAGTAATATATCACACAGCGGATATCATACACATCCTGTAAAATATGCTAATATTAGATGTGTTTTTTCTCCTTTCAGAATATGAGATAAGTGCCCCGCTGCAGAGGAACTTATACTGGGGCTCAGGTATGGCGTTAGAGTGTTCTGTGTACGAGCCTGCACCAAGCATGGTGGGGCCCCCTCCTCCAGTGGCCCCACCTATCCAGAGAGGCAGCTGGAAGACAGGAAGCACGTCCAGCACATCCAGTAAGCTGTTATTATTTGTTTGTTTTGTTTCTGGCTCGGAACTGTTTGCATTGCTTCCATTCCTCCTTTCCTATTACAAGCATGTAAGAGGCAAATTATTATCTAAACTGATTCGAGTGATTATTGCTTTGTGACCTGTGGGAGGTTCTGCCTCCACATGACGCACAGAAGTTATTGACACAGCCCATAATTCACTCTTCAGTTCAATGTTTCACTTGTTTGTGTTAAAAAAGTTGCAATCGTTCTTAGGAAAAGAAACTCAGACAGGATGCAGGAGAAGAACACATTGTGATGTTGGAAGCGCAAACATTAAGCTGTTAAAGCTTTTTCTTAATGAGCTGGAATTGTCCTCTTGTCTCCTTCTCAAAAGAGGTCATAACAGAATTGTTTTACCTTTGCCTACAGGAAATAGGACAGCATATCATCCCATGTGAGAGATATTAGCTTTTTGGTTTGCTTTCCTCAGATGTTCAGGCTGAGACCATGGTTGACACGCTATCTCATAACTTAGTTTCACAACACTAGACTTCCTTTTTCTGTTATATGACAGCACGACACAAAGTGTGAGGTATAGGCCAGCAAAGTAGGGTTTAGCGACATTGCTACTTCTTCTCTGACTTTATAAAAAGACTGATAATTCCAACATCCTGTCTCACAATATTGGGACATTGATTTGTCATCCGTGACCAGCACCTTATTGGGCTGTCGCTCAATTGCGAGAAAAACATGGATTACTTAATAACAGAAAGTCTTCCTGCTGATCAGAAACTATAACGTCTTATTAATCCAAACTAGATCAAATGGGATAAAGAACGTCAAAATCAAATCTCTAAAGAGCTTAGGGGGTTTAGTCTTGAGGAGATTCACTCTTGTTCTGTTTATTCTATACTCTTTTATTCTATTTTCTCAGATTAAAGTCATCATAGGATCAATAATCAAAGACCAAATGTGTCAGATTTCTGCTTTACCCTTGGATAAAATGTCCCTTCAATACTCATTCTGACCCATATTGCCTTTTCCCATTGGTTCAATAGGAAACTGAAGTATTTCACACAGGCAGTTCCCTGTTTGACAAACGTTGGTTCCTTCTAAAAGACATGCTTTTGATAAGATATGGCTGCCTCTTATCGGAGACTTCATTCATCCTTAACAGTCAGCAAAAGCTATATTGTCTCTTATTTCAAGGTTTTTATCTGTGTTGTTTTTAGGTGAGCTGGTTTTATGTTTTGAAGGCACTGATATGTTGACACAGTTTGAAATATTTTCTGAGCCTCATGATTCTGATTCCCACAGATTTATGAGTCTGTCTATTGAGTTTAATCTGGCTCTGATCACTCATACCTCTCCCTGCTGACATGTTATACAACTGTAACGTCTTTGTTGTTGGATATTTGTATCCGCATTTGGTGAAGTGGTCTGCAGCATAACTCACCACAAGCTCTAACCGCGCAGAAATATCTAATCACGTGTTTTCCTTCCACTTTTTTTTTCTTGACATCAGGTACGGAGAGCAACAGACTCAGCACTCACAGCACCTTCAGCTACAGCAGCGGCACAGAGCCTGAGTTTGAGGTGAGCACGAATGGACGAATGATCAAACAAGAACTTTTTCAGTACACGTGGAAACCACAATGTTCACACATACTTTAACAACATATAGACGGTCCATAAGGGGCTTTTATTGCTGCATTAGTGTCTAAACCACACTGAACCTTCTCTTTCTCCTGTTGCTGCACTCGTTCCAAACAAGTAACGCGCATCACACTACAATACTGCATGTGAGGTAGAAAAAGAGCATAGCATTAAGTCTCTGGCTACTTCAGTGCTTCAGTTCCTAAAAGACTTTAAAGTACAGATCTACTTATAGTCATATAAAGACTTTTGTTCTTGTGAAATCCTTGTAGCTTGCACGCATTGCTAAATGTTTTCTCAGAAATCACTTTTCAGAGTTCAATCAGATCTGCAAAATGTTTTCTGCGAAGGAATTTAATATCATCAAAATGTCACTGAAGCCCAGAGAGATAACTTTAAATGGCTTGTGTTGTCCAACCATCGGCTAATACCTAAAGAATTTCAGTTTGCTGTTACAATCAGTAAAGGCATGCACTAAATCCTCCCAGCTAATGAGAACTTGAGTTTGCTTTGCATTTCTGCTTGAACAATTACGTAAACCTTTTATTCACTCATTTGTGTCCAGTAATTGATTAACTATCTAATTGTTGTATCTGTTAAGGCAAAGCACGTGGAACGTTTGGTTTGTCAGAAAAGTGCTTCAGGTTTCGTCACACATTCAATTTATTTTCATTTTTTTCATAAGGACATTGCAGATAATCCCCCTCCTCCTCTACGACCTGTGAGGTCATCTGATGCGTCCCCCCTCGCTCCACCTAGGATTCCTCCACGGGTCCCAGAGAGGTCAGTTTTAAGACCAGTGTTTGAATTTACTGATGTAACGTTTAACAATATAGTTGAATACAATTGTATTTAAACAATACAATCTCAGAAATATATTGTGGGTAGCGTGCATTTATTGTTGCAGTTTTGATAATTAATTGAATAACTAATTAGAAGAATTACACCTTTCTTGGAAATCAAATTGTAAAGTTTTTCTTAATAAAAACAAAAGAGACAGGGCATTCCCCTCTATTAAAAGAGAATATACAATCGATAATCAATCAATTAATCAATATTCTATCATATTTGAAAGTTTGGATTTCACTTAGCTGACAGGCTTCATTTATCTACTTAATTTACGACCACACACACTCAAGTAATCAGGTTTTTTATATATAAAACATGTATGCACTACTAAAGACACCCCAACTACAGAATGGATAGCAGTTCATAAGAGTGTGGATGCTTTTGCGAAGTAGAACAGAAACAAACAGCCTGATAAAGAATCTACATGCAGGGAAGAGTATGACAATAAGTGATGAAGAGGAAATGGTCAGCCACCAATGATTCTCAGCTGTGCGAAAGGAAGGAAGCCAAAGTGAGAAAGCGACAAAGGCATTGATGTTCATTCTGTGTAAACCTATAAATGTCTACTTGAAGTAAGAACATTTTAAAACGAAAGGACACATCAAAGTGACTCTCAAGGGGGGTTATTATGAGTTCCTGTAACTCAGAAACTCTGCAGTCTCGTGATGTTAAATGACAAAGGTCTCATTTCTTTAAAAAACATTGTGTGTAACATAACAGTGTGTACTGCAGCACTCCAGTTGAACATTTTATATGATGTCTATATTGTCTTTCTGTATCACGGTTGTGCATGAAGAATCGTAGTGAACAGTACGTCTGTAAACCTAAAGAAATAACTTTGATTTTTCTAAACTAAATATAAACAGTACAAAGGTCATAATAAAGGGAAGTGAACCATCACCTACAGCACAGCATGGCAAGAAGGTTTGGGGTGCTACAAATTGCATGCTGGGTGGGTGCAATTCTTGCTAATTGTTTAGCGCTGGCACCTTTGGTGAGACAGTGGGTATGAACTTGTGAATTCAACTGAACCCGTATGATGGAGAGATTTCGTGGATTTTGTGTGTTTTCGTTCATTTTCTCAGATGTAAGTTACCTCCAATTTAACCAAGTTGTAAATGTTAATATTGGATACAATACAATTCAAAACTAGCATATGTTACTGCATATAAATGCAACACAGCGTGACTCAATTAAAATAAGATATTTAGTGGAATTCCAGTGTTTTTAATAATAATATAACATATATAAAAGTGAGTCTGCACTCGGTTTGGACCAAGTCGACCCAACAATCAACTAGACAATAGCAGTAGGAAGTTTGTTTCTTAGCACATTTCAGATACAGGCACATTTCAGTTTTCCTTACATAAAGAAAAGTAGAAACGTACGTTAATATAAAAGGAATAATTAAAACATAGTACAAAGTAGTAAAATGTAATAAAACAGAGACTTTTATTATATAAAGAATAACTATTAAATAAAGAAAATACAAAGTACATAAAACACAGTGAAAATAACCTTGGCTGTGTGTTTATCTTTTTTGGAACACCAAGTAGAACAAAAGGTAGCTATAACTACAGCTAAAAGTAGCCTGCAGAATTTCCCCTTCAGTAGCTGTTATCTGCAATTCAAACATTTTGATAACTCCGTTTTTGTCTACACATAACTACATCTTGTAATGTGAATGCACAAAGACAGGGTATCTGCATTTTTATATATCATGTTGGTTAATGTTTCACAAAAATACAAATGACACGAAAGAGATATCAAGTTAGTGTGAGGATGTAGTAGAAACCCTCAATGACTTATATAAAAAACAAACCCAAAAGACATACAGAATGTAAAATCACCAGTACAATTTAAATATAGCGCTAAAAAACACAAATGTAATAATTTAGTATCATAAAAATAAAAGGTGGCAAAGCATGAGTAATTTCTTTATTTACAGTATGACTAAAAGAGATGTCTTTTCTTTTTCTAAATGAAAGGCTTTTGGCAGCATTTGTATGTCTCTTCTCTACGTAGAAGGAATTTATCAGATTTGTATTCAACAACATTTTTATAGAAACTCTCCATGAAGATGAACATTCTTAGCCTTTCTAAATGGATATATATGGATTTGTGAATTCCATAACTAAAAGGTTAATCTTTCTAATGAGGCTTTAAAAGCTTTGCAATTTTGCAACCCAATTCTTCAGTCTTAATTTGAAAAGGCTTTGTATTTTAATGAAACACTAGTTTTAAAGGCTGGATGTATGTGATCACTGCTTTTTTTGATGATAATCTTAAATGGGAGTTCACAGTCTACCCTCCCTTTACTGTATATCTACAGCCTAATCAGGTCAGTGACCTTACATCACTGTGTTTTTCTCGCAGGATGCCAGAAAACATGCTGCATGAGCGCTACATATCCTGCCCGACTCGAGCAGTTCCTCAAAGACCGACTCAAAGATACACAAACTCAGCACCTCCAGTACCTCGTCGCCTGCGGTGATCAACACATGTCCACTTTAGCTGGGTTTCATTTAAAGTATTTTAGGAAGGAGGGAGGAGTTAGCAAGACAGTGTGTTCCTCTGTAAACAGACATCAGGACTTAAATAGATGCCTACATGCAGAGAGACTTTTTTAATGTTGTGTCTTTTTTTTGCCTATTATATGTTGTATCAAAGTGCCTAACATAATAATTCAGCCCCCATATTGTTTCATTGTGTGCACATGTGTTTGTGGGTGTGATTGAGTCTGTGATATTGAGTGCATATGTAAGTGTTTTTACCGAATAATTGTTTGGCTCTGGTAACCCTGGAATTTTAGTATGTTGGTGAAAAAAGGGAAATAATTGGTTTTAATTCAAATCTTAATTATGATATTTTAACATGGTTTGTAGTTGGTCTTCTGTTAACAGAGCCAGTGATGTTAATTTGGTTCAGTTCACAAGATAATTATGATATTCCTTTATGTATTATAAGCATTTAATTGAAAGGTTTTTTGACTTTATTTTACCTTAAATTATGTAATAATTATACTTCTTAAATGACTTACAGGTTGGTTGGGTATCTGTATATTTCTTTCTGAAACTCAGAGAAATTATCTCAAGGAAACCAGTTTTGCTTTACATCACTCTGTCATTTTTGTTCATAATAAATATTATAAAATTGCAATTTGTGCAATAGTGCAATTTCAGGTTTGGTCACTTGATGGCGCTCCATGTTCTCTTTTCAGATGCCACTTTCTGTGTTGGTGAACATTTTTTTCAAGTTGATTGAATCCATTAAGCATGCAGCCGTTAAATGAATTTACAAATGATTTCACTGTTGTGAATATAAATGAAACCTGACATTTGAAATGCTTTGGGAGAAATTATAAAGCCTGAGACTGGGCATTTTTTTCAGAATAAAATCTTTACTGACAAACAGCATCAGAGTTAGTACGTGATTGGTTGTTAGACCTCATACTGTACTCTCATTCGACAAAGAGATATGGAGCAAATCCAGTGTTCATAATGAGAAATACAATATAGGCTTACTTAACTTGAGCTTATGTGATACAAATGTATTAGTCAGACTCATAAATAATATTGTACAGATGGAATCCAGCGAAATGTTTCGGGATGGTTGTTATTAAGCACCTGTTTTGACCACACAACTGGCAAAATGCATTCAAGAGAAGTTTTTGATAACCATAAATCGTAATAGGCCTATTTTGGAACCGAGTCAATTATCTATATATATGCAAACATTTATATCGAATTTTATATCCACAAGATAAAATATATATGTCTATGGATAAAACCCAACTGAGGCTTAAGCACCCTTAAAGGTCCCATGTCATGGCCATTTCTACTGATCATAATTCCATTGTTGAGGTATACTAAAATAGATTTATATTGTGCAATTTTCCAAACTCACATTGGTTTCTCATACAGCATCTCTGTATAGTAGGCTATGTGTATTCACACTCTGTCCTAAACGGCTTGTTGGAGCTCCCTGTGAGCCCAGTGTGCCTCGCAACGTCCCGCCGAGTGTGTGTGTGTGTGAGGATTCGGAAGTCCGCGGATTGGTCCAAACGTAACGGCTCCGCGGACATAACGTATACGGTTACGTCACTATACCCAATTACGTCACTATACCCAAGAAGTAAACAATGGAAAAAGAGAAATCTCCAACGAGGCGTTCTGGGGCAGCATAGCCTACACAGGTATTTTCTGTGTTAGAGTTTTACTCACTACAGGGTGTACTTTGAGGGTTTGTGACTCTGCAGACCGTTTACATGCATAACAAGCTACATAACACACAAAGGGACGGGTAATAACCAGAAAAGCATGACATGGGACCTTTAAATTCATGGGCCTGAACCGCCTGAACTCTATTGTTTAGGTTCATTACATGCTCACACTGCTCCTATGAACACTGTTTCCCGCCTCAACAGTTTTTTTTTTTTTTAGCCAAAAAGCTGTACAACGACCAGAACACGTGTTGGTTAGCTAACCTGGGCCTGGCACAACACACCTACAGACAGACCAAGTTAACCATGCCAGTGAACATGGCACAACATTTAGCTGCTAAAGACACTGTTATTATTTTCTCAGCGGTGGACAGCGCCGAAAAACAAGCTTTAAGGAGAGTAAATATTGAACTTAAATTCATGAAGTGCTCTGAAACAGGAAACCCCAATGAATGCTAATAATGCTAGTGTTTCCCGGACGTTTTAAGCTAACTGTTTGCTAACCATGAACTTTATAATAAGGTAATATGTCAGTGTTGTTCAGCTGCTTCGAAGTAGCCAACATAAACGGGTAAGTTGTTTAAAGACAAAACATGTTAATGTAACTACATGTATTTCGGTTTTATTCTGAAATGACTGAGTCCAGGCTTTTACTGTGAAGGGACGGCGGCCCAGCCCCCGGTGCTCGGTGCTGGTGTTGTGCGGCGGTGTTGACGCAGCTGAGGCCGGTGAGGGTGAAGCGCTGACAGGACACTGGTGGAGAGCAGCCGTCGGCGCACACAGCTCAGTGAAGTGTGTCTGCAGCAGCCAGCATAACACTGGATTACCATCACACAGAGGTAAGCATGTTCCTTCTCCGCATCACTGATGCAGGGGTTCTTTAATGTTTCCCCGAAATCTATTATTTTCATTTGTAATGTATTTTACCAGGGCTTCAGAACAGCTGACTATGTTTTTTTTTAATTATCATATGATGCAAAACCAACACCACCTAATTTAGTTATTAGTTGTTATTTGAAATGTGGATTCAGCAGATTTTATCAAACACAAGTGCGTATATGAGTTTTGATATAGCATCTCATCACAGAGCTCTGGCTTTGGGACAGTTGCTGCAGTACAGGCGATCCATACAGTGGGAATGCGACCCGCCATGGGTGCCGCACTCCGGATGAATGCCCAGGGGAAAAGAGAAAAAATACCAAGCCTGGGAATTAAACACTGTCTGACTTTACACCTTGCTAAAATACTGTCTGGTATAATTTAAAAAAATAACAGTTAATCGTTTCTTGTGTTGCTGTTTCTTTAAAGTAGCAGGTTGGCTCATTAACGGTTGTCATTGTGAATCATAGGGAGCAGACTACAGGCTACTCCACATGCATACAATAAGACTGTGACATCAGCACCGTCAACTTAATGGATGCATGCAGGTGTTAGGAATTGTTTATTGAATAGTGTTTCACTGTCATTTTTATCACAATGTTGTCAGAGATAGATTCTAGCTTAGGCCATTTTTGATTGGATGATTTTGAAGGTGAACATGCATTGAGGAATTGAATGTAGGAGACGTACAGTAGTTTGGAGGTGCATTTCATTATCAGTGATGCAAATGTGTAAAGGAATTAAACAGTTTCCTATTTTCCACTTCTTATTCCAGTGATATCTGTGTTAGTCTGAGCAGATGTGTTGTGAAGCTGCTCAGTCAGTGCAAATATTCTCTGCAGTTACAGAGACAGTCGACCTGAATGACTTCATATTCTAGTCCGACACGCAGGTCTGCCAACTGCATGTGACATGAACAACTGATTCACATACACACTTAGACAATCAGATACTCATCTCTTGTTGTACATGTTGCAGCGCTACAAAGCTTAGATAGGCTTTTACTTTCCAAAGTATTTGACAAAGAAAAGTTCTACACCATATTTTGAAATATACATTAAGAAAATAGCACTGATCGTTGGGCTTATTCTAATGCTATAAAGCTACTGCAGAATTAAAAAAGCAATGCAAGTCCTTTTGCATTTTTTGTTATATCCTTTATATCTTAACAAATCCCTGTAGTATATTTTGGAGTGCAGCTTGCACTCTGCTTTCACATGTGTAGGAATGTATGGCTGTCATTAAATCCAACAGAAAAGCTCTCTAAGCTTTTTAGTCTTTATAAATAAACAAAATAAGCTCCATACACCTTCACCAGTGTATCTCTTTTAATAAATAATCAGCCTCAGCAGAAATAAGTATCTCCACTTTCTCTGAGCCGTGTTGTTTTCCTCTGAAACTCAGCAAATGTATGTCTCTTGCTTGCCTGGGTTTCATTCATAATTTTACTACACTGGTGACTCTTTCACTCCGAGGGATCTGTGTAACATGACACCAAAGAAGCTTATAAAATATTAACCCGGACACAAATAATTCATCAATCTGCTACGAGGACACGGGCAAAGCAGTCAGACTGATTTTCAAAACAAAAAAAACATTTCACATGTTTTACACACTCTGCTCTGTGTCTTATCACATGGAAACATGTAGTAGAGATAGTGGTTCTAGACAGTGTTTACTTAGAAAGAGAGAACAGGACCTCCGCTAGGATAAAGGACTTTGTGTATTTGCAACCACATCTTTGTAAAGTGTTTTGTCACTTAATTAAACACTATTTGAATTCCCTTAGAGGCAGATTTAATGTCCCCTCAGCTTAGTACTACTACTGAGAATTGATTCAATAGTAGTAGTTCAGTAGTAGTTATAAAGCAGACTCCTGGTTAATGACTTGTCAGCATAGGAGTTGTAGATGTTTACACAGCGGTGGTGTGTGTGTAAATGGAAGTCATATGTTACCTAGCCTTGAGCCATTTGTTCAGTCACGCAAAGAGCAGCCAAACCACTATATGACCTTTTGTACATATTGTTGTACAAATAAAGCAAGTCAAATACTTTCTTTTTGGAGTTGAAACGATTCCCCATATATCATTTGCAAATGTTCAACTTTTGCTGTTGTTGATTTGAGTTTTTTTGGTTTAACTAGCCTCAGTTCTCAAGAAGAGCCGCAACAATGTGTCGATTGGTCGATGAGTAAAATAATGGCCAATTGATTCATAAAAATCTGAAAATAAATATCAGACAGAATAATGTAGTGAAAATAATCATTTTCAGGTGTTTACATTCATGTCAATAATGTAATTGTACAGACAGATTCATATTCTAACAACACTTAAAGTTTGAAAGCCACTTTTGAATGCCACTATCATCCAGATCTTGCTTTTTTAAGAGACTCAATAAATCAAGGTCGAAGTGTTGCATTTCAGTCTATTGAGCTTGACAAACAGAAATGATAACCTGTGGAGTAAGAATGCGACCTGTTGGTGTGAACCCAGCGCAGTGGTTAATATTTCACGAAGCTCGTTCTGAGTCACGTTACACAGATCCCCTGTGTTTGAAAGGAGCGACCCTGGGAAACGTGAATCTCTAAACTGAATGTAAAAGATTTGCCGGCTGGCCTCCAGATCACCCAGCGTTTCAACATGTTCACCATTTGTTTTGTAAATCTGATTATTGGCAACTTGGAAAATGAATATTTGAATATTAAAAAATATGAAATAGTTACAATTTGCAAATTAAGGTTGAATTACCACATAGGTCTTCAAAATAGCTGGCTTTGTCAAATTGTTTTGACTGTGACTTGTGAAATGATATTGCCTTTATATTGTAAACCAACTGGACCCATGTGTTCAGAATGAGTGTTATCTAATAGTTAGCCATCATTAATTACAGTTTTTATTAAGTGCAAAACAGAGTTAACTTGGACAGTGGCAAAATTATTTCATAATATTCTTATCCTTTTTAAGGTATATTTCCTCAAATCACTTAAATGTATTATTAGTTATGAATTCCTGCATGCCAACTGCTTAGTGAAGCTGGATATTAGCATGACACAGACCTGTTTTTGTGACAGTATTTGTAGAAACAGCCCTGTATTTGCTTTTTTTTAAAATTTGAATCACGGATGGCTTCAAACACCAGGTTTCTGTTTTTACTCAATGTTAATGTTACAACAGGTTGCTTAGCAACCCCCCCTCTTCCGCTTTCTCCATCTGCTGCCATTGGCTGAAGTGGTTGGTGAAGTGTTATGCTTTGGCTTTTCAAGGTCTGTGGCACAAAGAAAGCCCCCCGATCATGGACGCGTGTAAACAAGGCAGTGAAAAGACAATTTATGCTTTAGTGATGGATTAAGCTGCACTCTTCATCACCAACACCACACCTCCACCTCCCCCCTCTCCCCTGTGTTACATCTCAGCAACTGGTGGAAAACAACACTATGGCGGCAGTTGTTGGAAGATATTTAATATAACCGGCATGCGTCCTCCTCACTCATCATCACACAAAACCGTAATGATCAAGCGACAGTGACGCAAATGATGTTTAGAAAATCACTCACTACAAAATGTGATAAACAATAATGAAACTCTAATAAGAGTGCCGCCACCTACAGAGCCCGGCTGTTATTGACGGAGCTGCCTATTGCGTTTGTGTCTGGGTGTGACGGGTGGAGTCAGACTGGGAAGGCATTCCAGAAATAGACGTATGATGGAGTCCTGCTGCATGCTCCTTTCACACAAGGATACCTTCATAGCACTTAAAATTGCTGGATTATCACATTGCTGTTTATATTCACGTTTAGCCGCCATATCCTATGACTCAATTATCAAGTAGTCTTGTCACATTGGCGCTTGGAGAGTTATATTAGGGAGCACACTCGAGCAGCCTGTCCACGTCGGAGTCAAAACATCCAGCAGAGATGAGGAAACACTTTGAGCGGGATTGTCATCGCCGCTCACCTAATGTGCGGTGCGGCCCGTTATCTAAGCCAGGAGGAATCCTATGTGCACAGCTGAGCTCGTTATCTAGTGATGACATTAAAGCATCATGAGTGACTGTTACTCATATCCGCAAATAGAGCACTTACGATAATAGCTTCACAACACGATTATGGCGGACAAAATAATTCAAGAGAACGGCATTATCACAATGTCTTTAGAAGTTTTTTAAAAGATTATATTTATAATGCCAAAATGATCTTTAACTTTGGTTATACAGCCATTTCTTATGCCTCCATGCCTGCACCAGATGTATCAGCAGTCATAGCATTTTAAGGTTGTCCTTTAAGTACGACTGTCGTGATATCCCATCAACCTCTTAAAGAATATCTTCAAAGTAAGATATGGACTCAAGGATGACCTGAATTGAATTTGATGGTCAAATGTCAAAGGGTCAAAGTCACTGTGACATAACAAATACATTATGGGCCTTTAAACAAGGATTGAAATGCCATTAAAGACCATTTCCAATTGCCAAATTCTTTCACCAGAATTAAGTGTAGTTTGGGGGAGTGTGAGTCTATAACCGTAACTGTACAGGAGCCTACAAAAACGATTCATTAAAAGCATGTTTTTTCATTTTTTTTAAATATTAAATGGCAGTGTATAATCTCTATTCCATTATTGATATATTACCATTATTGTGGATTTATTTCCCAAATGTATCACTTACTGTATAGTGCATACTAGTTAAATATCCCTATTTGCTCATAAGCTTCTCTGAATTTCTTATTGCTCCTACCAAGAAAACGACCAAAAGCCCCTTAAAGAGACACCTCAGGGCTGCTTGAATATTCAGTCGAATGTTTATCCTCACTCCTGGGCTTGTGAGCCAAGCTCTCTCACTCTTGGAGAGCAGCCTGGAGCCTTTTGCTGTGAAGATGTATCACTCTGGGTACACTGTCAGCTCCCTGACATTCTTATTACACTGCCTCTAAAAGCCTAGTAGGCACAGTATAAGCAGGCTG